TCTTGGAAGTGTTCTCTATTTCAGGTTCCAGCTCTGCTTTTCTTCCTTCCTTTTTTTCTGGCCAGGGTGGCACTAAGCCTGTTCTCCCCACTCCCCAGTCACGGTGACTAAGGCTTGCTCTTTGGGGGTTTGCTGCTCGGCGTGTGCCGCATCTTTCTCCAGCAGCACACGGTGTGAGTGGGGAAGGAGGGCAGGGGTGTGCGGGCTGCCAGGTCAGGCTGGTGTCCTTGCAGAAGTGAATTCAGATGTCCCTGGAGTGGCTGCTGCAGGGGAGTGGTGGAACTTGGGAAGGTTCCCATCCCTCCCGCCATCAGATGCTGGCAACCTAAGTCTATTTACCTTAATAAATACCTGGTAATGTGGTCCCAGGCCTTCCTCTGGACTCGGCAGAACTGATGACCTGTAAGAGAACAGAAGTGTCTGGGTGGAAACTGAATGTTTTCAGTTAGACAGCTGTGACACATTGGCTTTGGTTGTACTGATGGCAAAGCTGCCCTATTGCAAATACAAGTGGGCTCCTGGCCTTGCTCTGAGGTCCCTCTCCTGGGGCTGCATGTCAGCATTGTGTCCCCACTCAGTGCCCAAGGCTGCCCCATCCCAGTGCAGAAGCCAGCACCGCTCCTGTTGTTCCTCATGTGGCTGCCAATGCACATCCCTCTAATCTGTCAAGATCTCTCTGCAATGCTTTTCCTCCTTCCAGGAAAGCAGCAGCTCTTCCCTGTTCAGTGTCTTCTGCAAACTGTGACTCAGTGTGTCTTCCAGCCCTGGATCCAAGTCGTTGAAGAAGACATCAAAGAGAACTGGCTCCAAGATGGAGCCCTGCAAACCCCAACAGTGACTGAAGCAGCAAAAGGGTCGCTCTGATTTGCACCGACTGTAAGGGATAAGCAGAGTGGCACTCGGACAGAAGCTATCTATAACTGTGCCAGTGTCTCACTTGAACATACTGCGTTTTTTCCTTTCCTTTGGGAAGTGATTTTTGGATGTCACCTGGAATGCCTTTTGCTCCTGATTAGTATATGAACTACATTTGTGTTTGGTTGCTTGTTTTGAGACATGACAGGCAGAAGCTGGAGCTGCTGCCAGCCTGGTGCAGTGCTGATATGGAGAAAAGTCCTGGGGACCCTGCAGGCAGTTTGTTGCAATGGGGGCAGCTCTCCCTCCCCTCTGCCATGGCTGCTCCCTGTGTGTTTGCACAGGTGTAGGGGTGTTGCTTGTTGTGTTGGCTTATCGGAGCCTCTCTAGGGAGGATGGTACTCAGAGACCAAAAATGTGCTGTTGGCTCTGGCAGCTGCCACGCTGCCTCTGCTGAAGAAGTGCTGGACTCGTTTTCATCCCAACACCTGCTGAGGATTGTCTCAGAAATGCAAAGGAAAAAATCTGTGTGCTGTTCTTATTGTTGTGTAGGAAAATTGAAAAGAGTTTGTGCAGATCCTGCTTTTTAAGGACAGGAGATGTGTGCAGGTATTGTGGCAGAGTCAGCCTTGAGAGTCTATAACTGCAAAACTTTTTTTTTTCTAGAGCAGGAACTGACATAAAGAAACCACTGTGCTTACAGCACTACATGTTTATAGAGCATTGGTCGCTTAAACATTTAAAGCAATTTCTCAGTATCTCATCATTCAAAGAGAAGATCTCAAGAACAGCACAAAATACAGCTCGAGGGCAGCATGAAGTACGCGTCCCTGTTGTCTTTCTGCCTTTTCCAGTGACTTCCCAGCCCCTGTGCCTGCTTGTCCACCAGCCCCGCTCTGATTTTGGCATGCTGCTGCTGTGCAGAGGGTGCACGATGCTCAGTGATGGTGTCGGGACACATCCTGTGGGGCAGTGAGTTCCCAGGGGAAGGAGGCTGACAGCCCCACCACAAAGTGCTGTCGAGTGCTGGAAGAAAAGTGTCACTTCTTGGCGGGGTTTTGCTTTTCCTGGTTACATCAGATGTAATCTCACAGCTGAAAGCCCGAATTTTAACTCGTCTGAGTTTTGTTTCAGCGCGCATTGATGTGAAGCATCCTGTGTTGGCATGAGTAATTTGGAATAGGTCAGAGATTCCTACTTGCACCCTGCCCATTCCCATGGGAAAGTGGCTGGTGGGCAGGTTTCCCATATATTGCCTGGCAGAAGGGATAAAGGTTGGGATGCCCTGGAGCTTTGCCCAGGAATGATTATGGTGCTCGTGCGTGAAGCCCGGCCCTGGGGGGGGAGCGGGGTGTCTGTCCCCAGCCATGGTGACAACAGGTTGCTGTGTGCCAGGTCGGCTGGCTGCTCCAACAGTGGGGTCATGTTGGCATCGGTGTAAGCAGGAGCCTAAAGAAGAATAGCAGAGGGGTTGGTCTGAATGCTAAATCACAGGGAACAGCCCCGACTTGTTCACCGAGCGTCGCTGGTTTGGTTACATCATGCTTGATGTTGGTCAAGAGAGATGGGCTGATAGCTGCTGAGCTTTCAGCAGGGCTGCTTTCCTCCTGCAGAGCTGTGTTTGGGGGCCAGGCAGGTGGCAGCAAGGCCAGGAGGCTGCGGGAGCTGCAGAGATGTGGTGTGGGGTTGTAGCTGTGCATCCCTGCTGGAGGAGCTGAAATGTCAGTCCTGAAATGAGCTGTATGTGGCTGCCAGCTGAGATGATGCTCGGGTTGGGGAAACCACTGATGACTACAGGAAGGAAAATTTAACACCTTTGCTGAGTTTATCAGTTTCTGAGCTGCCCAAAATGGGGAGAAAAAAAAAAGAGCTGTGGTACAGCTTGGCTGGGAGTGTCAGACTGCCAGCAGCGCTCTGGATGACAATGACATCTAGTGGCTGCTGTGCCCGGCCAGGCAACAGCTCTGGGACAAGGGGAGCTGAGCTCCAGCCCTGGGCTGCAGCCTGGGCTGCACAGCAGCGCCTCGGACAGGACCAGGTAGGGGCAGCCCTGCTCTGCATCCCCTTCAGTGCCGCACTGAGTTTAGGGGTGGCTGTGGCTGGCAGGGCAGCAGCACGTGGGTTTGGCTTGTGTCACATAGGATCTGCTTCCTACTCTGAGCCCCGAGCCAGTGCAGGACAAATTCCTCCCCAGAACAGTTAGGTGCAAGCTTTAATGGAAGGCTCCCTTTGAGCTGGCCTGATGCACTGTGTGCATGCAGAAGGGAAGTCAGAACTGAAGCTGTCACAGATGTTGCAGCTGCACAGTCTTTGTTCTCACCACTGAGCTTGTAGGTGGAGGTTTTTTGCTCAAAGTAACTTGTACATTTAGCCCTTAATTCAAATATGGGTGTATGCAGATTGGACAGAAAAGAATCACAGAATGCCCTGGGTTGAAAAGAACCACAAGGATTATCTAGTTTCAGCCTCACTGCTATGTGCAGGGTTACCAACCACCGGACCAGGCTGCCCAGAGCCACATCCAGCCTGGAAGGGATCGGTAGCTTCCAGCTTACTTTACCAGGTGTGTTGAAATGCTGATTGTAGCCTAGAATAAAAAAACAAAACAGCTTTGCTTTTTGCTTGGGTGCACACAACTTCCTTGGTCTGATTTCATTGCAGTCCTTCAGCAGTGCCAAAGGCTGCTTCACTTCTCTTCCAGCTGCGATATGCAGGAGGAGCTGTGCATGGACCAGGGGACTGACAGCTCCCAGAGTGTGAAACCCAGCCCTTGTGCCCTCCTTTGTGTGCTGTGAGCACCAGGCGTTGGATTTTGATGCCTCTCACTTTGCCCAGCTGGTCCTGCTTTGGGAGCTAGGAAGATTCATAGGGATGCTCTGCTCCCTCATGGGCATGGAGCAGGCTCACTGCTGCTTGCTATCCTTGGCCACGCGGGTTTTATATCTGCCAAGCAAATAAATACAAACCACTCGTCGTCTCTGGAGGATGATAAAACGTAAACTATCTATTTTCTGTGATAAAGCACTGGAAATAGTTGGAATTTAAGATAATTATCTTGATTGCTTTTTATAGCACCCTGCAAAGACTGAAATCTAATTTGTTTCTCTCTAACAGGGAGCTCCTGCTGATGACTCAGACAAAAATCCATTTGCCTTATTGACAAACTCGTCTGTTTGGTTTTCAGGGCAGTGTTGTTGCAGAAGGGACGTACAGGTGGTTACTCAGCAGTGAGTTTTTAATACTTGTTCAAAGTTTGATATCTAGTGGCTGGAGGAGAGAATGAAGCTGATGCAATTGGAGGGAAGTTACTTGGCATTGCTAAAGGTGGCTGTAAATTACTTCATGCTCTCCAGTGGGTGCAGCAAGTGGTAGAGATCAACCAGATGTACAGGAGCCTGCAGGGAAGCTGCAGGAGGAGTGGCTGTGCCCTGGCTTGAACAAAATCTGTCTGAAGGTGTTGGGCACTCCTCATGTGACTGCAATTTCGGGATCTTCTGCTGGTCTGGAGCTGGGGCCGTATGGGAAGCGGTTGTCTGTGCTGTTTTCTCAGTTGTTGTTGAGGAGGGAGTACCTTCTGCCTGCTCTGCCCCCGTCTGCTCAGCAGCCCAGCTGCTGGAGGAACCTCCTGAAGTTGCATCAGCCTTCGCTTCCTGGCCTGATTTGCAGACACACGTGGCCCTAATGTGAAACCCATCAGGTTGCTCCCCTGCTGAGAGGAAGGAAAATGAAATACAGAGGTGATGGAGCGTGGCTGTGCCGTGGTGGGGCTTGTAGCTGAGGGTTTCTGGGTTTATCTCTCACTGGAATCCAACGCTCACATTGACTGCCCTGCGTTGCTCTGCAGTACAAGCTGCTGCTGTGCCCTCAAGGATGAGCGTAGAGGATGTTAAAGAGAAAGTAATGTTCTTCCAAAATACATTCACGTTGAGTCAGTTCTTCCATCGCTAAGTTTGAGACTTTACTTGTTTAATGAAGTAAACAGTTTAATTTGCATGTTTCTATTAGCAAGCATAGCAGGTATACATGCCTTGTAGTTCTTAACTCCTTTTGTCCTTGTCGTCGGAAAGCAGCAGCTGTGTTCTCTGGACAGGCTTCTCAGCATCACCACCTCCCTGCCTGTTTGACCCCTGTTTTTTTCCCTTTAGGAATTGACTACAAGACTACTACCATCCTGTTGGACGGCAGAAGGGTCAAGCTGGAGCTCTGGTGAGTTTGGCTTCTGAGCTGCAGCACAGCATGGCCAGTGCAGAGCATCCCTGGCTGTGTGGTGAGGCTTGGTAGCTCTTCTACCCAGTAAGTTATCCTGGTGAATCAGACCCCTTTCTGTGATGGAGCAGCACCAGCAGCATGCTCTCCTTTGCCAGAGTGGTCCCGTTTCAGCCCTTCTCCACCACAGCTGACTCCATTCTCATACAGCTCTCACTCACTAAGGGAGCGATACTGTTTTGGAGGTAATACTGGACTTAACTGAAATCCTAGAGTGGGAAACAAATAGAATTAGGAGGACAAAGCCCTCAATTCCTACAGAAGCCTGGATTTGTCCATGACTTGGTCACCATACAGTCAGTGCCTGGAGAGCAGGGTATATGGGGGTGACCTGGCACTGGGATGGAGAAATGAGAGCACTGCATGTAAAGGTGACCCTTCCTTACCTGTCAGCATTGGAAGAAGACCTGGAGCCTATCTGGTCCAGCTCTGAGATATAAACTGCTAAGATGGCCCAAGAATTCAGGAAGAATAGCCTGCCCCTGTTGTGTTTCAGCTGGATCCAGTAGGGAGTGACACAGGTCCTAAAACATGAAAGCAAACATCTCTACCGAGGCGTGTATGAAATAACTGGAATATTAGTGTTCTGTGTGAACTGTTACGTTGGGGATGAATGACACATTCTCAGCCTCAGAGACTGACTCTAAGGGTGTATGATTTCATGGTTTAATTATAGTCCTGCTCTCTCAGGAACTGATGTCCTCATTTTTCTAACAAACAGCTAATTTATCTCTCTGCCCTATGTGACTGCATACACTCCTTGTATTTTGTGTTTCTTACTCTTGGAAGGTGCCACTTTTCCCATTTGTAGCCCAGTGGGAGATGTGGAGTCTGGGATTTATGTTTTCCTACATTTCACAGGTGTAACTCTAGTTTTCTTTGTTTCAGGGACACATCGGGGCAAGGCAGATTTTGCACCATTTTCAGGTCGTATTCCAGAGGAGCCCAGGTGAGCACTGCTGTCCAGTGTTTGGTAGGAGCAGTCCTTTTCTTTAGGCTGTAACAATCTTTCATGCCATAGTAAAAAGCTCTGAGGCAAATCAAGCATCAAAAGGATGGGATCTATGAAAATACCAAGAGGCATCTTCCTCTTGGTCTTCCTGTGCTCTGGTTTTCTTGTTTTATGGAATGGTAGGAGACAGAGGAGTGAGTGACACTCCTAGGCTGCTGCTGGAACGTTCTGTAATGGATTACTCCCTGTTGGTTTCTAGACAAGGGCTGAGAAGTTGGAATTATAGAGAATGTGGCAATTCTAACCTGAGATCTTAGCTTTAGCTTTAATGTGGGAGCTCCTAATTTCAGAGGCTTATCAGGTATGTTTCAGAACAACACCAGCTTTCCCAATGGAGTTCGTCTTCTGTATTGCCACCAAATCAGTTCCAAAAATAAGGTGGCTCCTGCTTGTATGTTTGGTGCAAGCTTGAAAGTAGAGCAGCTCAGTTGGATCTTAAACTAAGTTCCTTAAAACATGAAACAGAGCGTTAAGTTTTGAGCTTCTCCTTTGGGCCTTGTTCCAGAATAGCATCTAGATGGTGAATGCTACTAAAATCTTTTGGTCTTCTGAAAAAAATGCTATTTAACAGTACTTTTTTGATGTATTAATAGTCATCCTTTGAGTTACATCCCAGAGTCCCTCCAGATAAAGGATCATTAGCTTAAAAAAAAAAAAATCTCATTAAGTTAAAAGAACTACAGTGATTTCCTTTCTTTTCTAATTCAAGAAGTTTGGCAAAGCTCTTTCTACTTCTACACAGAACTTCCCTCTGCTCACACTGTATTTCAGAAAACTGTATAGAGCTCCAGTCCTAATGTAACCTGCATGCTTGAGATGGTGTCCTTTCCCTTATGAGTTATAAGCAAGCAATCAGGCATTGTGGTTTTCTGGTCACCACACAGCTTGACTTTGGGCAGTCTTCATGAGACCTTGCTGTCAAATGCCCAAATCAAACAGGGAGCAGCAAGCACAGTGTCTGCATAGGGCTCCAGCCAGCAGAGCCTGCACCATGTGTGCCAGAACTTGTAGCTGCCATGCGATGAACTGGGATAGATTAGATGGGAAAGGTGAAAGAAATGGTAATGAGAATGTTTAGATAGATAAAGATATGTATCTGTTTAGCAACTGAAGCAGAGCTGTAAGGCACTGGGAGTGCATCTGTTGGGTTCCTGCAGCCTGTCTTCTGCACACACCACACCTGAGGCTGGATGGGATAAGCCAGCTGACCTGAAGCTTGAAATGGCTTTTTTATCTTCCTTCCTTGTAATGAGGTTCTTGATCATCTTTGGTTTAGAGGTAACATCTTACCCTTCTGCTTTATTCATCAGCACTGCTTTAGGATCTCTCACTGTACGGTGTGGAAGGTTTGTCCATCTTACCTGCACACTGTCCTCATGGAAACACTTGGACAGGCATTCCCAATAAATGTGATCAGCCAGCTTGGCAAAGGCACCTGTAATGTGAATGGTCTATTGCTGAATACTGGAGTATGGACTTCACTTAGGCAGCAGAGTGCAGCTTATGCCTCTTCCTCAGGGTCTGTCTTTTGTCTGTGCCGCAAATCCCTGTTGCAGAGAACTGTTGTGATGCCTTGGTCCCAACAACAACCAGTTTTTTCCCTTTGTGACAACAAAATAGCCAGAAGCAGCAAGCCTGCCTGAAGAAGAGAGAATTCCCAAATGAAATGTCTCCACTGCCCGCTGAAAAATGGTCTTGTGATGAGCACTGCATGGTGAAAAGTGAGCGGGTGCATTCTGAAGGCTGAGAGCTGCAGCCCTGGTGCAGTTTTCTCCAGGTGGTTTGAAGTACAGCTTCAGGTTGTTGGCTCCCATGTGGCACCCCAGCAGTGTTCCTGGATTAGCAGGAATGCAAGCATCTCTGAAATAAGCTCCACGTCTTTCAATGAAAGCAGAAAGTATGCTAATTTAAACTCTTCATGGTTAACCAGTGCAAGAGGGATTTTAGATTTGAATAACGAAAATCTCTGCTGCAAGAACAGGCTTGAATACTTGTTAGCTTCTGCATGCTGGAAATAAATACTTCTGTCAAAGCTGGGCAGAATTGCCCTTCCTCTGGGAGCAAGCTGCCACCTAATAGATTGGCAACACAGTTTTATTGATAGCATGAAGACAGCTTGACCCAGTGTGGTCTGGGTGGTGAGGAAGGCATGAAGTGTTTCTGAGTTCTCTGTTTCTTCCAGACGTGCTTGATGCTGTGTGTTGGACTGAGTTTCTGTGCTTAGCAGTCTGCTTTCCTCTCTTCTCTCTTGGTGTCATCAGACTACAGGAGTTCTGCTGTGGGAAGCCTGATGCAAGCACTGTTGGAAGCAAGAGAAACAGCTTTTTCTAACCTAACAAACCAGGAGCTCAGGAAGAGCAGAGGAGAGATGCCAGAGGGGTTAAACTCTGCTTAAAGTGCAGCATGATCTTTGTGCAAGAACAGCTTGGTGTAAACTGGCCATGAACACCTTCGTGCTGAAAACAAGCAGAAGGCTTTTATTGAGCAGAGACAGGGCTTCTGAGCTGGGCTTCCTGAAGGAATAACAAGGGCTCACTCAGTGAGAGCTGCATTTCCAGAGAAGGCTGTGAGGCTGCTGGGAGAGCAGGAGGTGCTCTGGTGCCACAGCCTGGCCCTTGCTGGAGCTGCTGAGAAGGGGGACAGGTACATGAGTGGAGAGAGCTTAAGAAAATACACAGAACAGCTGCTTGGTGAAAAGTGCCTTCAAGAAAGGGAAGCACACCTGGCTCCCCTTCCCACCTCATTGCTTCTTGAGTGGAGTGATAAGAATTTAATCTTCTGAAGTTAAACCCTTACAAAACGGAAAAGTGGTCCCCAGATAGGAGCCAGACCTCCTTGTGAGCTTTCCTTTCTGACACAGCAGAGCTTTGTGCTTTTGCTCAGCCTGGGCTGCAGGATTCTTTCTGAGCACCTTGGAGTCTTGCCCATGGTTCCATGCTGCTGCTCAGGCTCGTGGCTCTGGAGCTGTGTGGTTTTCTTGTTGGGGAGGAACATCTCCCTGTTGGAAACGTCTCAGAGTAGCCTTGCTGTCCCTCATGAACTGGCTTCTAATGAGGATCAGTGCCCTCTTTCAACCAATGCAGACAAGTCCCAGCCCTCCAGGTAGTGTGACAGAGGAAGTCCTTCAGGAATGGTTACAGACTATCTACAGAAAGTCAAAATGACATTCAGGAATGCTCCCATCTTACAGCAAGGCTGCAGCCTTAACAGAATAATGAGCATTGTTGAGTTCTGCTTTGGCAGCAGGTTTGAGCGGTTGCTGTCTATCCCACTCAGGGCTTCTCAGCATGCAGAGAGCTGTGGGCTTTCTGGCAGCTCAGCAGGCTCTGAGATGCAGGCTGTGCTTTGCTGTGCAGCTTTCTGGGTGCTGCAAACACTCTACCTGCCTCTGGTCATTCTGAGGGGCGTCCAGCTGCTGGAGGAGTCAGCTCTGCCTGTCACAGTGCTTACTGCCAGCTCAGTGATAAATAACCCCCCATGTGTTACGCTGTTGGGAAATGCTTTGGCAGCAGGGAGCAGTGCCCTGGGCCAAGGTCCCAGGTGCCAGCTGGAGAAGGGACATGATGTTCTCCTTGCTGTCTTTGTTTATGGCTTACTTAGTCCTGTGGGTTGCAGAAGTCCAGTCTGGGGGTTCTTCCAGGCTTCCTCAGCAACCAACAGCTTTGTTCCATCAGTGCAGAGTAGCAGCGAGTGAGGCTTTCCTGGCTGCCCGTCCTCTGCATGCTGAGGTTTGTGGCAGTGGTGGGAGCACTTGTTTTCAAGCACCCTGCTTCTACCACCTTTCAAAGCTTGCAAGTCTGCTTGCTGCAGGTGCTTAAGCCAGATAGAGATGTGGTTTGATTCTCTCTTTGATTATGTGGACAGGACTTTGTGTGAGCTCCTGCTGTAAACAAGCCTGACTTCTGGCAGTGTAAGGGTCCACGTGTGCTGCTGGGTACAATAATAGATTATCTCTGTTCTTTGTTCACTGCGTGATGCACTCACATGGAAATGTGTCACTGGGCACTCAGGCTTGCACCAATCCCAGCAGTGTGGAACAAAAGCAGGCTGGAAGTGGACTTTGAAAATGAATTGTGAAAAATCCTGGGACAGTGCTGGGGGATAAGTCCTCTCCCACCCACCACCAAAACCAAAGGGCAGGTTGGGGAGAGGTTGCTCAGCTCAGGGGCTGGAGAGGACTGCACAGCAGCTGCACCAGGTGTTCTCACAAGGTGTCTTGTGAAGCTAAATATTGAGATGTACGGAGATATCAGGGTGTTGAGAGCCATCGGGCCACTTAAAGAAGGTTTTGGGCTGCAGATGGGAATCTGTTCATCTTTCTGGTGATTACAATTCTGCACGTTATTCCACAGGAATCTTTTTGTTTATAAACCTGGGAAAAAAAAAAAGCCAACAGCTCTTCCTCAGAGCTGTCTGCAGAGCTGGAGCCAGCTCCCTGTGTGCATGCATGTCTGCAAGCTGTTCTTTGCAGGGGAGAAAACAGTGATGACACTGTGCATTTGTCTGGAGCACACCTGTGCTGCCTGGGAGAAGCACGAGGTCCCCTGGCTGAGCCCCATGTGGAGCTGCTTCCTCCCATTTGCCCCAGCACTCACGCTGGGGAGGATGGAGACAAGACTGGGGCACTGGGCTGTGTGGCCTTGATGTCTGCTCTTGGGAAGCTCTACTTGACGATCTGAACTTGAAGCGTGTGTGGGGAGTTGTGTTATGACTTGGGAGGCTGTGCTGGCAGACAGTGTAGAGTTAGAGAGTGTGATCTTGACCTTCCACTTTGATCTTGAGAACTTGGGGTTTTGCTTTTGCTGATGTTTTATCCTGATTGCTCTGCAAAGCAGATCCAGGCTGCAGCTGCCAGCATGCTTAAAGCCACACTGCTCCGAGAGCATGGTTCTGGCAGAAGCTGTCTTCACAAACCAGCTCTTGGGTCTGTTTCTGTTGGATCGAGGAACTTGTCAGTTCAGAAACAAAGCAAGTAGAGCCTTTTGAACACTCTGGCAGTTTGTCTTGGAAGGAGGTCCTCAAACCTCTTCCTCTGTTGTTTCCTGATTATCATTCGTTCACATGTGCAGCTGTGGAAGCTAGAAGTCAAAACAGACAAACAAAGAAAGTATGGGTTTCCCCCCAGTCCTGTCCCTTTTCTTTTTTTCCCCACAGAATGCACTTTATTTTAGTGATGTCTCTCTCCTGGTAGCAGGTAGTTCTCAATTTTGTCACCTTAAGATCTCCTTTGCACCAGGACTTGCTGTAGGGCTGGCTGTTCCCCACAGGTTCCTGATTCCAGGAGGACTGGCTCTGTCCAGCTGCCTGCCCTGTGACACCCTGCAGTCAGGCTTGGGCTGTTTGCTTTGCTCTCAGCTCAGTCCAGCTGCCTTCCACGTGAGCTGGATCCGTCCCCAGAAGCACTGCTGGCTCGCTCACAGGGCTGAGCAGTGGCCATCAGGTTTGTGGCAGGAGGAATGCACAAAGCACAGCCCTGCTCCTCTGAATGCAGAGTCACTGAGGCGGTTCTTCCTCCTCTTTGGAAACCCCCTGACCAAAGCAGAACTGGTGTCTTTTCTGGAGTTGGTCACTTGTTAGAAATAGGAGTAAAATCCTCCCCAGCAGATCTCAGTTAAGTATAGAACAAGGGGGAATGGTTTTAAACTGAGACAGGGGAGGTTTAGGTTGGATATCAGGAGGAAGTTTTTCACTCAGAGGGTGGTGAGGCACTGTTCACAGGTTGCCCAAGGAGGCTGTGGATGCCCCATCCCTGCAGGCATTCAAGGCCAGGCTGGATGTGGCTCTGGGCAGCCTGGTCTGCTGGTTGGTGACCTGCACACAGCAGGGGGTTGGAACTGGGTGAGCATTGTGCTCCTTTTCAACCCAGGCCATTCTAGTTGCATCAATTTTATCCCTGTCAAGCACATAAATAGTGCAACTGGAGGAACATTCTTTTAGCCTTTCAGTTTTGGGGTATAGAAATGGTCTTCTGGGTGAATCTCCCTTTTAATTTGCCTCATATGCAACCCGGTGACTGCACGTTTTCTTCCATCAGGGAATCCTCCTGGTGTATGACATCACCAACCGCTGGTCCTTTGATGGGATAGATCGGTGGATAAAGGAAATAGATGAGGTAAGCTACATGGAAGGACCCAGGAGCGTGCTGGCTTCCTGCCAAACACCATTCTTTCACACTGGGGCTGCCGGCCCCTCTGGCCCAGAGGCCAGGCACACTGAGGGGAATCCGGGGAGATAAACGTGGCACCAAAGTGCAGTGGTCTGTAACAAAATCCAGGATGGTGCCACCTCTGATACACAAACAGGAGCGGTTCTGCTGTGGTTCCCTATCAAGTGAACTGTAGAGAGGAAAAAATTAATTGTCCTCATTTATGTAGCATTGACTGCTCAGCATCAGAGCAGCTTCTATTCTCTTGCTCTTCACTGCTATTGAAGTTAGGCAGAGTTGGTTGCCTTCACTAGAGACAAGCCATGATTATTTTTCCACGTATGTTTTTCTTTTTGCAGCATGCCCCAGGGGTGCCCCGGATCCTGGTGGGAAACAGACTTCACCTGGCCTTCAAACGACAGGTGCCCACAGAGCAGGCCAGGGCGTACGCTGAGAAGAACTGCATGACATTCTTTGAGGTCAGCCCACTGTGCAACTTCAACGTCATAGAGTCCTTCACAGAGCTGTCTCGTATCGTCCTCATGCGCCATGGCATGGAGAAGATCTGGAGACCCAACCGAGGTGGGCAGTGAGAAAGGGGCTGTGTGTGGGCTGGAGCAGAGGGAGTGCCCAGATGGGTGGGTGTGTGCTCATACCTGTGGGATCTGAGAGCACCTGCCCTGGTGAACAGCCTCGAGTCAGGAGAGCTGAAGCTGAGCCAGAGCAAGCTGCCTGTACTGGTGCAGCTCCAGAGGGCAGTTTAGCATGTCTAGGCTCTGAACTGCTCTGGGACATCCTTACACCTCTGCATTTACTCTAGGTAAAGCTGAAGGCAATTAAGCTCACAACTTGAAAGCACTTCAATCAGATGATTGTGTGTGTGGGATGCACCAAGCGTAAGCACCTCTGTCCTTACCCTTTTCTGAGCCTGTATCTCCTGTTCTGGAGAGATAGGGAGGCAGGGTGAGCCCAGGGCAGTGCAAGGAGCTGAAAGGGGCTAAACCCCATCCCTGCTGTAGGCATGGAGCAGCGAGCTGGGATATTCCATATATACCCAGCTGCATAGTCTGTGGCATGAACAGAGCCTGCCTTATGTCTCAGCCTGTTGAATTTGAAGCAAAATAGTCTTAGGACCCCCCTGTTCCTAGCTGGGGGTAGCAACGTGTCTGACTGACAGGCTGAGCAGCAGGGGTTTAACACTGCCATCCGGGTGACCTGATACTCTGTCCCAGTGCGCAAGAGTAGATCCTGTGTGCTGGCCCTGCTCACCAATTGCTCTGCCAGATTCTTCGGGACTGGAGGCAGCTCTACTGGCTGTTCGGGAGCAGTGAGTGGCTGGAGGTGAACGTGTGCCCTCCTGTGGCCGGCTGCTGGGAAATCCCATCCCACAGGCTTCCCACAGCTCATTCATGTGGCTCACGTTGAGCTAAGAGGATGCTGGCAAGCCTTGTCCTGGCTTGAAGGGATGTTCATTGCTGTGAGCACTGCAAAGAGCCATCCCAGCAGCTGCTCCTTACCGAGCAGGTCCCAGGCAAGGCTGCCCTGCAGCAGGGCTGGCTGTGTTGCCTCCTTCCCAGACCTCTCCTTGAGGCCAAATGGTGACTGGGAAATGGGACCATGAGCAGGGCTGGTGTGCTGCACCATGCAGAGGGACAGTGCTGCTTGAGCCCAGTGCTGGCACCAAAGCTGATGTCTTGCAGAGTGCTGGCTTGCAGGACTCAGCTGGAACCTGGGACGCCTTTATTCCCATGCTGTTGTTCTAACAAATGTAATTTGGTGAAGCACTGATACGGGTTGCTCAGAGAGGTGGTAGTGCCCTGTCCCTGGAGATGCTCAGCGTAAGGCTGGAGCACCTGATGGAGCTGTTGATATTGCAGGACAGCAGGACCAGATGATCTTTAAAGGTCCCTTCCAACACAAATAATTCCGTGCCTCTGCTCGGGGCTCCGGTGGAGTTGCCGTTAGCTCTTCTCCCCTAACCAGCAAGAGCTGCATGGCACAAAGAGGTGTATGAAAAAAGCAGCCTTGCACTGCATTGACCGTGACTGTCTGCTCTCTCCTTCCCACAGTGTTCAGCCTGCAGGACCTGTGCTGCCGAGCCATCGTTTCCTGCACCCCCGTGCACCTCATCGACAAGCTGCCGCTGCCTGTCACCATCAAGAGTCACCTGAAGTCCTTCTCCATGGCCAACGGGATGAACGCGGTGATGATGCACGGCCGCTCCTACTCCCTGGCCAGCAGCGGGGGAGGCAGCAGCAGCAAAGGCAACAGCCTGAAGAGATCCAAATCCATTCGGCCGCCCCAGAGCCCCCCCCAGAACTGCTCGCGCAACAACTGCAAGATCTCTTAGCAGGACGGGCGCGCCGTGAGCTCCGTGTGCACCCACACACCCCTGTACAGATGTTTGCACACTTCACCCTTTCCGAACGGATCCTTTAGGATGGGCCTCGGCTGCTTTCCCTGCGGTGCACGCAGGCGTCAGGAATGTGCTCTCCTTTGGCCCTGCATGTGAAGCGTGCTGCCGGCTGCAGGGGGGAGAGGACTCCGCCAAGTGACCCTGCAGGAATGCTTTGGGCTTCACCTCTTGGCCTGGGGTGGAAAATTCAGCAGCTGCCGGGTTGGGGAGGGGGAGAAGGGGGGGGAAAGAAGCTCATCCCGTTTCGATGGAGAAATGGATTTAATGGCAGATTGAGAGGCTTAAGGGAGTAGGCAAGGAGAGTCTGTGCTGCGACTTTAACTCTTGGACTCCTGAGCGAATTGCTGGTGCAATAGTGGTTGTTGGATGTAGTTGAGGAATTAAAAAATTAAAAAAAAAAAAAAAAAAAGAAGGTGGGGGGAGAGGGGAATAAGTGACCGTTTTCACCAAGATGTTAACCTGCTGTTGCCAAAAAAAAAAAAAAAAGCTAAACTGAAAAAGGCAAGAGTTGGCCCTGGGGAGGCTGAAGGAAGCTGTCTGCTTGCCTTCTGCCTTTATGTAAATATTATACATATATATATATATATATATATATATATATATATCACTTGTTTTGTAAGGTTTTTTTTTAAGAAGCAGTCAGGGAAAATTTTATGCAGCCATGTAAATAAAAGCAGGGGATTAATTTAACCAGTGGCAGCAAGAGGGGCAAAGTGGAGGACGTTAATATGAGAGTGCACAAATGCTTTAAGAGACTCTGACCCACTGCATGGGTTGATAGGAGGTTTTTGAATGCTGCATATACAGAAGGAAGGAACCATCAGTGCATTCCATACCCCCCAAGCTGCTTTACTTTGATCATTCCATAAAGTGTGAGCGCTGAGGGCAGGCTGGGATTGAAGCAGAACTGAAGGGCGAAGCAGAGAGTCTGAGGTGTGGGGTTGATGTGAGGCAGAGGCAGCTCTGAGCCCCTCAGATCCCTCATTCAGCTGCACAGCAGAAGATGCAGAGCCAGCAGGGACTGAGGAGCAGAGGTTGGAAGCGCTGAGCCCAGAGCAGAGGGAAGATGTGGACCATCCTGTGTCAGTGCAAGGTCTTGGCCATCCCTTCCAGAGCCCCATCTTCGCTGTGTGCACTCCTGGATCCTCACACTGCCACCCCGTGTTGGCCCTGCATCCTGGCCTCTTGCTCTGCTTTTCCAAAGACATCCTGCCAAGCTCGTGGCTCCTCCTGGATGAAGGTGGGAAGGGACCAAGTGGCTTTTCCTGCTGGAGCGTGAAGGAGCTGGAGCAGGGCTGCATCTCCTATGGGGGTGTGCTCAGCTCAGGGCTGTGGCAGGAAACAGAGGGAGCCAGGGCTCAGCACTGCGGGACTGCTGCAGTGCTTTGGAGGACGTGTGCTGCACAGCCAGAGCCTGAGATGTGCATGCAGTGTGGGGCAGGGGCCTGTGCATCTGTGGCTTCATCTCACGGCAGCGTGTTGTTTGTGCTGCCAGTTCACCTGGAGACCAAAATGCTGCAAGGGTTGGGGCCTGGCAGTGTTACTGAGCCGTGCCAATGGATTCCCTCGGCCAGCCAGGCTGTATGGGCTGGGAGTCATTCACGTGGAGCAGAGCAGCACTGCTATCTCTGTCCTGCAGCCAGCAGCTCGGGGCCCCTCTTGCACTGCGGGGCAGGATGAAGCCGCAGCGATGCTGCCGGGCTGATGCCCCTTGGTGCACGCAGCCCCCTGCAGAACAAAGCCTGGTGCTGGGGGGAGTTCAGGGCTTGGCCCTGGCACGCTTTATTGCCCAGCTTAAATGAGCGAGGAGAGAATTAAAGCCCGTGCCGAGGCGAGGAGAAGAATCCTTTGTAGTGCTGATTTGGCTCAAGAGCAAAGCAGCGCCGATTTCGGCACAGAGTCCAAGGGATTTCCAGAACCTGTCTGAGACGGCCAGCACCTGTTCCCCATCACTTAACACAAAGCAGAAGACAATCGCTGGCTCTGCAGCCTGGCAGGCTGGGGATATACAGCCAACAGGTGATGCACCAGCACTGAGAGGGGCACTCGTGGCCGCCTCCTGCCTGCAGACACCCGGGATCCCTGCCTTGAGTACATCACACACCTCTGTTTGGTTCTGCTTTGGTCCCTGTGCCACCTCCTGCTCCTTTCGCCCAAAGCTGATGCTCTTTTCATCCTGTAAGCCGAGAAGATCCCATCTGGAGGGAGAAGGGAAGATGGACCCAGAGTATTTGCTCGGCCATTTATTGTTATTATTTTTTAATTTAAAAGGAAAAGAGGTTCTTGCATCTGATGTCAACACTAGTCTGTAGCTGCTCCCCACCACTTGTACCATTCCTGAGGGGTTTTTTTGGACTGTCCTTTTATTTTTGTATTCCTTTGTACAGTCAGTCAATGTTGTTTAACTGATTATACATGGATTTGTTTTATATAAATTAAAGCCTTTTTTTTGTTTTGAACTGCCAAGCAGGAGGTGCAAGAGTCGTATCTCTTTTGAGGGGAGATGCTGGGGAAGAGAAGGAGGAGGTTGTGCCCCAAGCTGGGCACGACCTGCTGGATCCTGACCCGTGGAGTGGCTTTGATGGCTGCAGAGAGGTGGTGAGGCTGTGCAGCCCCCCAGCCATGGTGAGCCCCCCTGCCCTGTCCCGCTCTCAGCCCACCTCCCCATGACCTCCCTCTCCCCCTGCCCTCTCGCTGCCCCAGGATCAGATTTTCCACTTCGTACCAGACTGGCCACGCTTGTTTTAACAGCTTAAGTGTAATATTGCTGAGGCTGGGAGGGAGCTGGGGGGAAATCAGATAGCGGCTGCAGCCTGGAAAGCCCTGAGCTAAGGTAAAAGCCTGCCTGGGGAAGAGGCACGGAGAGCTTTTTGTTCTCCAGGCTGCTGCTGGCGGGGGCTGCTCCTTCTCACTGCCCCACTTGTAAGCAGTTGTGTTGGCTTCAGGTGGGGGAAATGATGGTGGGAGCCATCCTTCCTGCAGAGACCTGTGGTGCACAATATGGAGCTCTTAGAGGGGGTGGCACTGGGGCTGCCCCCACGCACCTCAGTGTGCAGAATGGGGAGTGCTGGAAAGGCAGGAGCTGTGACAGTGCCTTCATGTGAAAAAGGTTTATCACATGGGGGAGGATCTCTGCTTCTGCCCCTAAGAAACACCATCCGGGAGGGGGGGCCGTGCTGGTGCCATGGAGGATGGGTGCAGAGCTGGCTGTACGACAGGGAACTCTCCAGCGTGTGCTTTGGGGATGGGACCAGGGGGTTCACCACGCACAGAGCTGTGTGTATGTATGGGGCAGAGCTCCAGGCCGCAGTGCCACCTCTCAGGTTGGGCTGCTCTGACGCAACCAATTCCCTGTTTGCAAAATGCCATCCTGCCCGCCGCCGTCCCAGGGCAGCGTAACCTCTCCCGTGTGCTCAGGGCCGGCTCAGCATCCCGACCCTCCGCAGCGCCGTGTACCCGCTGGGGGGCTGCGGCTCCTCCTCGTGCTGCCCGAGCTCAGCTCCCTGCCGAGCTCCTGGCACAGCTCAGACGGGCTTCGGTGCTCCTCCGGCTCCGGGCTGCGCTGGGGCAAAGGCGCGGGGCCGCGGTCAGCAGCTCTGCAGGAGTTAACGTTCCCCCCCCCGCATCCAGGTCCGTCTCCAGCGGGGATTAGGGCAGTCTGGCGGGGAGCGGGGCCGGCTCCTGCCAGCTTAGGGCCGGCTTCGGAGGTGCTCTGCGAGCGGAGGTGGGGTTGCAGTGTCCAGCCGGGGTCTGGCACGGCCAGGCGCTGCCTCCAGGCGCTCCCCTGGCTCGGGGTGCACGGCAGATCTCAAAACCGGGCTGTAAATCATCGGCATTTGCTTGCCGGAGCGGGGACGGAGGCTGGCTACAAACCTGGGCGCTCGTGGGGCCCTGGACGGCCGGCAGGAGCCTGAGATGGGGGTCGTGGCCCCACGGCGCGGCCGCGACGCCCCCCGCTGCAGCTGGAGATGCTGCGGGGCCGGGGGCTGCGGCTGCCTCCCACCCGCAGGCCCGGGGCGGGCAACAGGCTCTGGCTGTTTTCTCATCCTGCAGGAATTCGGCTCCATAGGCCGGGCATTTTTTTCCCCTCCTTTCACTCTCTCTCTTTGGAGACTTTCCGCATTCTGCCTTTGATCTCCCCCCTGTGTTTGTCCAGCCGATCGGCTCAGACGGGGTTAGAGGCTGAGGTCAGCGCCTTTTCCATTCCAAACACCCAGAAACATCAGTGAGAAGGGAGGGGATTCAGATTACAACCTTCCCGTCCTCCCTTTCCAACCCTGCCCCACACGCACGCAGCGCCCGGACCCGCTGCCACTGCACGGCGAGCGCTGCCCGGCTGCGGGTGCCAGGGATGCGCTGAGCCCCCCCGGCACGGGGGCATCGCAGCGGCCGAGGCGCTGCCCGGAGCCACCGCTGCGACACGACGCTGTGCCCGGTGCCGTGAGAGCTCAGCGATGGACCGAGGTGTGGGACGGCATCTCCGGGTAGACGGCGTGGACCCGGCGTGCTGAACCGCAGCGGTCTGGACATCACCTCCTCCTCCTCCTTTCCGTCCCCCGACTTTCCTTTCCGTCTCCTTCCCTCCGTCCAATGTGATCAGCCCCGAGCCTGGTGGCGAGGCGGGGGGGGGGCACACAGATGCCTCGCAGGAGTTTCGATCGCCCAGGACCGCGGTCACGTCCTGGCGGGCAGCAGCTCGGTGGGGCTGAGCCCATGCGCTCGGCTCTGCTCCTGCTGCTGCCCTTGCTGGCGGCCGCCGCCGGGCTGAGCCTACAGCAGGCCAGGATGCGGCACCTGGGGGTGTGCCCCAACCAGCTGAACCCCAACCTGTGGGTGGACGCTCAGAGCACCTGCGAGAGGGAGTGCCAGGCGGACCAGGTGAGCGCTGGGAGCTATGGGGAGTCAGGGGCATGGATGGGATGGGTTTGGGTACTGCACCCGTGTGGGGGTGGTGGTGAGCAGAGGGATGCTCTGGGCTGTGCTGGGATGGGGGTCTGATTGGCAGAGGCTGCAGTGCCCAGCAAACTCAGCTTCTTTGAAGCCTCACCCCAGGATTGCGCAGAGCCCCAAGTGCTCCAAGCGCCTCTGCAGGCTGAGGTTCATCTTATGGCCCTGCTGCATCAGCCCTGTCTGGAACACCCCCCCCACACACACCCCCAGTATGCTCCCACTCAGTTACTGAGGGATGCTGGCATGCTGGGACTGCTCCCCCTGCTCTCTCAGTTTTCCCTGGGCAGGAGCACAATGCTGCCCATCCTCACGGAGCAACTCCTCTGCAGCTCATCACTGCAATGAGTTCTGCCCGACCTCAGCCCATTGGAGCCTGCAGCCCCCAGGCCACAGTACAGCACAGCACAGCCACAATGGCAGGAGTGGCCCACGTCCAGGCTGGGCACCTGCAGAAACCCAAAGCCCAGTACCACCACTGTGCCATGGGGGCCAACACTGCTGCTCTTCACTCCCTCCCATCAGCGGAGCTGAGGTGG